TGTATAGGCTCTGATGCATAGTGGGGCCTCAAATATTTAACTGAGTGGGAAAACATAATGCAGTCGTATAAGACTTTATGCTTTAGTCTTAATATTTCTTATTTTATTTGGGCTCTGCAACCAGTGACTTTTAAACTATGATATCAAGGAATAATACTGTTCCTTGAGCTGAATTGAGGGCTTTTCCTTCTAAAATCTAATGCGTCTTTTCTCAGCTGAAAAATACCAATGGGTAGTATTTTTTTCCCCATTTTTGAACTTCCTTTCTACCTCATCATGTTTTTCTTAGAAGCTTAGATTTGTAAGCTTCTAAGGCTACACCTGATTTTACACAGAATTATGTTTTACGATTTTCATTTACATAGTATTCCAAGAAAATTCACTTGACTTTCAGGAGTTCAGCTTTTTTGAGCAGACGAGGTAACACTGCTCACAACATTAGCAAGTGCTATAACCTCCTTTTTCTTGTGTATGTGTGTATATGTGGGGAGGAAGTGGTTCCTGTGTGAAAATTAGGTATTGGACAGTACCATGTTTCATGCATGTCTTATTTTATTTCAGCTTTCCATTAATTCTGTGATGTGATGTTATCATCAGGCTATAAATGATGAGACTGTATCACAAAGCAGTCCAGTGTCGCAGAGCAAGGAGAGGTGAAGTTCAGTCTATTTGATTCCAAAGCCCAGGTCCTCTCCACTGTCCCGACACTGTAGTTCTTAGTGTCTGATCTTTACTGTTAGGTTATAAACTCCTTCAGTGCAGAGGTTATATTTTATGTACACCCCCTTGTCCCCCACCCCCAGGAGTTTCCAAAAACCAAATGTAGTTGTCTCCCTCTCATTTCAGCCAGATGTGCCTTTTACCCTATTATATGTATATATCCAAGGATTTGCCCAAATCATCTTCAGTACTTCTGATTACTTTCTCTTATACAGTAGGATGTATCTTTCCTTGTCTTTAAAGTATAACTCAGTCTCACCTTCAGATGGGGCTTGGAATTTAAAAATTAGATTTTGGGCTTCCCTGGTGGCGCAGTGGTTGAGAGTCCGCCTGCCGATGCAGGGGACACGGGTTCTTGTCCCGGTCTGGGAAGATCGCACATGCCGCGGAGCGACTAGGAGCCATGGGCGCTGAGCCTGCACTGCGCAACGGGAGAGGCCACAACAGTGAGAGGCCCGCGTACCGCAAAAAAAAAAAAAAAATTAAATTAAAAAAAATAGATTTTAGATCACCATGTGAAAGGTTGTTTAAAACTCTCTGAGACAGCAGTTCCTATTTAAAGGTGCTCATTGGAGACAGCCAAGGAGAAATTAAGTGACTCAACAGGACACATTTAAGTATGGAATACAGAAAAGTAGAGGTAAAAAAACTTATTCCTGATGAGTTGGCAGTACGTTTAAAAACAACGTACAGATGGCCAAGAGGCACATGAAAAGATGCTCAATGTTGTTAATTATTAGAGAAATGCAAATCAGTACTACAATGAGGTATCACCTCACACCTGTCAAAATGGCCATCATCAAAAAAATCCACAAACATGGGCTTCCCTGGTGGCACAGTGGTTGAGAGTCCGCCTGCCGATGCAGGGGACACAGGTTCGTGTCCCGGTCCGGGAAGATCCCACATGCCGCAGAGTGGCTGGGCCCGTGAACCATGGCCGCTGAGCCTGCGCGTCTGGAGCCTGTGCTCTGTAACGGGAGAGCCCACAACAGTGAGCGGCCTGCGTACCACAAAAAAAAAAAAAAAAAAGTCCACAAACAATAAATGCTGGAGAGGGTGTGGAGAAAAGGGAACCCCCCTACACTGTTGGTGGGAATGTAAATTGGTGCAGCCACTATGGAGAACAGTATGGAGGTCCTTGAAAAACTAAAAATAGAGCTATCATATGACCCAGCAATCACACTCCTGGGCATATAGTAAAAAATGGTCTGAAAGGATACATGCACCCCAGTGTTCATTCCAGTGCTCTTTACAATAGCCAAGATATGGAAACAACCTAAATGTTCATCACCAGAGGAATGGATAAAGAAGATGTGGGACACCTATACAAATGGAATATTACTCAGCCATTAAAAAGAATGAAATAATGCCATTTGCAGCAACATGGATGGACCTAGAGATTATCATACTGGGTGAAGTAAGTCAGACAGAGAAAGAGAAATATCATATGATATCCCTTATATGAGGAATCTAAAAATAAATGATACAAATGAACTTATTTACAAAACAGAAACAGACTCACAGACTTATAGAATGAATTTATGGTTACCAGAGGGGAAGGGTCAGGGGAAGGGATAGTTAGGGAGTTTGGGATTGACATGTACACCCTGCTGTATTTAAAATGGATAACCAACAAGGACCTACTGTATAGCACAGGGAACTCTGCTTAATGTTATGTGGCAGCCTGGATGGGAGGGGAGTTTGGGGGAGAATGGATACATGTATATGTATGGCTGAATCACTTTGCTCTGCACCTGAAACAATCGCAACATTGTTTTAATCGGCCACACTCCAATATAAAATAAAAAGTTAAAAAAAAAAAAAAGATCTAGCTGCTTTACAGTTTGTTTGTTTGTTAATCTTCCAAATAGTTGGTCCACTGGTACAAAACTGAACTGTCATCTTCTGGGAGACACCCTATAATACTGTGGCATATTGATTGATTATAGAAATGCAAATACATGCTATTATAAAATTATGTTTTAAATAATTTAACATTTTGTTATTAAAACAACAGATACTGACAGTAAGTAAAGAGTCAGTCATGTCTTTAGAGTTGAAGGAAAACTATATAGTGTGGCTTATTTGAGAAGAATGTATTTGTTACCCAAGAATAATGTCTTTCTTTCTCCCTCCTTTTCTCTTTCCCCTCACCAACACACACACACACACATTCTGTATATGTGTGTATATATATATGTATATGTATATATGTACATGACTCAGCTGAAAAAACAACGTAACTGAAATTGTCAGTCACTGAAATATTTATTTCTGTGCCTCTAAATCAACGTATTTTGTGACCTCGGTATCCCATACAGGTTTAACATGTTTTTTATTTGTTTGTCTTTTTCCAATTTGATATTATTGACTGTTGCAGTGTACTAGTCTGGGTTAAAACTCTGGAAACAAACCAGAGTTTCATGGAGTTGGCCTCATTCTCTGTTTAATTTTAAAGGCAATGGGCTGCTTCTGAGGATATTGCGTTTAGACTGGCTGGTTCACTTTGTGTTGATGGTAATTCAGGGGCTTAACCTGAGAGGCTTAGTCTTTAGATCACCTGAAGGAGGGAGAAACATATTGGTGTGGAACTGGGACTCTATTGTCTAAGATTTTATGGTACTTTCTCTTACTTTTACTCCTCTTATTTTTTTGTTTTTAATATTTCTTTCAGAGAATAATTGCCAACCATAGAACTATTGGTATGTCACTTGCTTAAGAAATGTTTTAAAATAATACAACTGAACGTATATGCAACAGAGAAACAGACTCATGGATATAGAAAACAAACTTGTGGTTACCAAAGCAGAGAGGGAAGTGGGGAGGAGCAAATAAGGGGTACGGGATTAACAGATACACACTAATATATATTTAATAGATAAGCAACAAGGATATACTGTATACAACAGGGAATTATACCCAGTAGCTTGTAATAACCTATAATGGAGCAGAATCTGCAAAAACGCTGAGTCACTCTTCTGTACACTTGAAACCAGCATGATATGGTTAATCAGCTATACTTAAAAAGTTTTAGATGGAGGTGGGGAATAATGTAGTGAAGTGTCTATTAATAAAAATTAAATAATGGAATGTGAACTTGGGCTTTATAATACCTTTTGGCATAGTGTTTCCTCCTCAGTAGCACATTCATTTCTTATTATAAGTTATTTTTTAAGAATCAATTTCTAACTGAATAAGGGTGAAAAGTATTAGCAATTCTATGTTTTGTTCACAGAATAAGGATGTTATAGCACATAGAAAAATCAGATTTGTAAATAACTTTAAAATGGATTCACTTTTTATAACTGTACCATATAAAATGAGGTATGAAAAATGTTATTTTAAACTGCAATAGCTCGGGAGTTGGGGAATTACTTTCAGAATATTGATAAACAGAGGATTGCATTTCCACTGTTTCTTTTTCCCCCAAAGGCACACAAATAGAAAGTTAATTTTTATAAGAGAGCGATTGTTAAGTCACAAACAGATTTTTTGAGAGTTTCTTCTATAGTGACCAATTGTGTACGAAACAAATTCTTTTCGGCCTAATTGCAGGCTGAGTAGCTGGGCCACCCTCTCTGCTAAGGTTGAATTTCATTTGAACTTTCTAATAGTATGATCTGTTTTCAGAATTTAATAACTGACTCAAATATTTAATAGTGGAAGCTTTCATTATTAAAAAGAAATCAGGATATATTTTTAAAAGAACTAACTTATTTTCTTTATCAGTTTTATCTACTTTAGGAGAAAAGGAGGAGAATGAAACCATCTCTTTGTGTTCTTAAATAGACATTAATGCTATAACCCCAGCAAATAATTTATTTCAGTGTGTATCATCATTCAAAAGAGTTGGGAAGCTCCAAATGGCAGTAATAACTATACTTCTAGCTCTCCTGAATAGCAAATTGCACTGACTGTGTGAACCTCTTCACTTGTCTGCTGGATAATCATTCATTTTAATACTCAAATATATTTTCTGGACCAGTTTTCAGTTGTACACTGTCGACTTTTGCATTGCCTAAGAGTTTTCTGTTAAGTAGAATGGCTTGTTTTGAAATGCAAGTGGGGAAAGCTGAGAGCTGAAAGATTTTGTTTCCATGTGTCGTTCTATAAATAGATGACAAAAGATCATTAAATGGATTAATTTATAGGCATCCTTAGAAATAGAATGTTTTTACATAAAAGCATGTTGTAAACCTTTTTAATTAAATTGCATTGTACCATGCCCTCTCTTCCCCCCAGGGCATTCTTGACCTCTCACCTCTTGTTTTGTCCTACAGGCACTCCGCTGCTGGTGAGGAGAAGCAGTGACCCAGCGCCAAGCCCACCTGCTGATGCCAGGCCAAGCGCTTCACACCCCAGTGGCCAGAGTCTGAAACCTGTTATTCCAGTAGGTATCCTGCCGTTTGCATTCCTAATGAAAGATCAAAGCGCCTTACCCATAAACTAACTGGGACTTTGCCGTCTTAAGTAAGTGGAGAATTAGAGCTTTTGGTAGGATACATAGTGTTAGTGATAATAATAAGTAGCATGAGCTATTGCTAGTATATAGTTATAGTGATAGCTGTTATTTACAGAGCGCCAATTCTGTGCCTAGCACTGTTAAAAGGGCTTTACATGAAGTCATCTATGCTTCCACATCAAAGTACAAACATGTTTTTGTCTCCATTTCACTGATAATGAAATTGAGGCAGAAGGAGGTTTAGTGATTTGTCAGAGGTCACAGCTAGTAAGTGGCACAGCCAAGAATTTAACCCAGGTGGTTTGGCTCCAGAACCTATGCTCTTAACCAGCGCACTATACTGTGGGTTTCCCATCCTTCTCCTTCATAATGCTCCGAGATAGTGTATCTATTTTCAGTATGTTAATACAATCCAGTGCTTTGTGAAGTCATAAGCCATACCATGGCGAATGGTGATAGAGTTTCAGGCTACCAGTATCGTAGACATGTGGTACCAGGACTGGGTTTCTAGATCTCAACATTCAAATTAAGGAAAAATAAAATTATATACCAAAAGTGCTTAAACCTAGGTATACCTATAAATGCTCTACTTAGAATTGAGAAGTTAAGTGGAGAATAGTTTCCTGAAGAGACAATGCTCTCCTTCCATATGGAGCTGTGGGATTTTTCTGCTAAGTCCTGAGTTGCTTTGAAGATTTGTAATTTTGGTTCATCCTCTGAAATAGCCTGAGAGTTAGATTTTGGATAATGGCTGCGTATCACTGCAATAGGGGATCTTCAATAATGTAACCATATTCAAAAGTCTCCTAAAAGCAAGTCTCTTCTCCATTTTAAGTCTCACTGTGTATAGTGCCTTCAGAAAAAAAGCAACATTTTTGGTATGTAGAGATGCTAAATGAGCTAAATGCATTCTCCCAGTTTGGTATCAAATATTCTTATCAAGAACCAGTGTTAATGTGTGTGAGGTAGGAGTCACCATAATAAATCATGGGGTAATTACTCATAGGTTTGCAGCAATATTTGGGCATGTTTCTTTTGGTAAGCAAGGGAGTGTCCCGAAAGTAGTTTAGATGCAATGTTTTCTCACTTCCCATCCTTATAAAGAAACATATTTAATGGAACATTACTTTAGTAAAAATCAGGTGTGTGTGTTCTGTTCTAATGATGAGTACAAACAGAACCAGTATGTGGTATGCTGTGTGTGTGTGTGTTTAATGCCCACTGATTGAGACCATGTTAAGCCTGAATATATTGGATTGGAGGAAGAGAAGGACTATAAAAACAAGAAGAATTACATAAAAGAGAAAAAAGTATAATTCACTGCTTATTTTTATGACATTAATACACCCTGAAACAAAAGTGTGATCTGTGTTACCATGATTTACATGCAGAAACCCCACCAATATTAGGTCTGTGTTTCTATCACTTAGGCTCTGTGTTGAGACCAATTGAAAATACAACAATATAGCTTGCCCTAGAGGAAATGAGGGCTACTATCTTTCTGCTAGATTCTGTATCCTTACCAAAATATGATATTGTTGAGTTCCAAGTTGGGGTGTTTGGAGAGGGAGGTATATTATTACTAGCAAAAATGCAAATTCTAATTCAATAAGAAATGCTGGCACTGAAAAAACTGGACAGCTACATGTAAAAGAATAAAATTAGAACACTCCTTAACACCATACACAAAAATAAACTCAAAATAGATTAGAGACCTAAATGTAAGACCACACACTGTAAAACTCTTAGAGGAAAACATAGGAAGAACACTCTTTGACATAAATCACAGCAAGATCTTTTTTGATCCACCTCCTAGAATAATGGAAATAAAAAATGAACAAACAAATGGGACCTAATGAAACTTAAAAGCTTTTGCACAGCAAAGGAAACCATAAACAAGACCAAAAGACAACTCTCAGAATGGGAGAAAATATTTGCAAATGAAGCAACTGACAAAGGATTAATCTCCAAAATTTACAAGCAGCTCATGCAGCTCAATAACAAACAAACAAACAACCCAATCCAAAAATGGGCAGAAGACCTAAATAGACATTTCTCCAAAGAAGATATACAGACTGCCAACAAACACATGAAAGAATGCTCAACATCATTAATCATTAGAGAAATGCAAATCAAAACTACAATGAGATATCATCTCACACCAGTCAGAATGGCCATCATCAAAAAATCTAGAAACAATAATGCTGGAGAGGGTGTGGAGAAAAGGGAACACTCTTGCACTGCTGGTGGGAATGTGAATTGGTTCAGCCACTATGGAGAACAGTATGGAGATTCCTTAAAAAACTACAAATAGAACTACCATATGACCCAGCAATCCCACTACTGGGCATATACCCTGAGAAAACCATAATTCAAAAAGAGTCATGTACCAAAATGTTCATTGCAGCTCTATTTACAATAGCCCGGAGATGGAAACAACCTAAGTGCCCATCATCGGATGAATGGATAAAGAAGATGTGGCACATATATACAATGGAATATTACTCAGCCATAAAAAGAAACAAAATTGAGCTATTTGTAATGAGGTGGATAAACCTAGAGTCTGTCATACAGAGTGAAGTAAGTCAGAAAGAAAAAGACAAATACCGTATGCTAACACATATATATGGAATTTAAGAAAAAAAAATGTCATGAAGAACCTACGGGTAAGACAGGAATAAAGATGCAGACCTACTAGAGAATGGACTTGAGGATATGGGGAGGGGGAAGGGTAAGCTGTGACAAAGCGAGGAAGAGGCATGGGCATATATACACTACCAAACGTTAGGTAGATAGCTAGTGGGAAGCAGCTGCATAGCAAAGGGAGATCAGCTTGGTGCTTTTGGACCATCTAGAGGGGTGGGATAGGGAGTGTGGGAGGGAGGGAGACGCAAGAGGGAAGAGATATGGGAACATATGTATATGTATAACTGATTCACTTTGTTATAAAGCAGAAACTAACACACCACTGTAAAGCAATTATACCCCAATAAAGATGTTAAAAAAAAAATCATACTGAAAAAAAAAAAAAACAATATAGCTTGCCCTAGAGGAAATGAGGGCTGCTATCTTACTGCTAGATTCTGTATCCTTACCAAAATATGATATTGTTGAGTTCCAAGTTGGGGTGTTTGGAGAGGGAGGTATATTATTACTAGCAAAAATGCAAATTCTAATTCAAGAAGAAATGCTGGCACCGAAAATCCTTTTACCTAACCTATGCAAGTTATCAAACATGGGTCAGTCCCTGTGTATCAACAGTAGAAGGGAAAGCACATTTCCTCCTTCCCTCCCAGAGTTCTCTGTGGATGATGAAGTTCAGACCTGAGACTCAAAGAAGAAGATCTGGTCCTTGCCTTGCCACAGAATAATGGCACATCCTAGGCTTCTCTTTTCTCAATTGTAAAATAATCTTCATGCAAACTTTAATCCTTAACGTTACAAGGAGCAGGCATTGTACCTTATTTATCTTTCTTTCTCTAGTCCTAAGTACATGGAAGGTGCTCAGTGTATGTGTGTTGGACGCAAGACTAATATTAGTCTGGAAAAAGTCCTAGAAATTCTCAGCAATTACCCAAGTTTTCTAACTCAGATATTCTCTCTGCTCTCCCAAAGAATCTGCCAGGTGAGTGTTTACCTGCCCTAAGGTCTGGATCACCCCAGGCAAGTGTAAAGTTAGTAAGTGAAGACATTTAGGTGTGTCTGTTTTTTACCTAGAAGAAAAATGCAGTTTGCATGTGTGTGTTTGTGGGTGTGTTTGTGTGTGTGTGCGCGTGTGTATGTATGTATTATAACTCTGTTCCTTTATCCCTGCACATCCTAACTCGTGGGCTGGTCAGACCTGATTGTCCAATATCATAGCCACTGGCTACGTGTCGCTATTGAGTATAAGAAATGTATTTTAAGTGTGGCATGCACACTAGATTTCAAAGATTGAAATATGAAAAAAGTAATGTAAAAGATCTCGTTAATAATTTTGTACTGACTACACATTGAAATGATACTATGGTAAACCGGATAGAATAAAACATATTTAAATTGTTTTCACCTATTTATTTTTACTTTAAAAAAATGGCTACTAAAAAATTACATCTGTGGTTCACATTCTATTCCTTTTGGACAGAGTAGCTCTAGACCGAAGTAAAATTGGAAATAGCACTAATGAAATGGTTTGAGACCCTTGGGAGAAAGTTCTTTGAGTTGCACGATATCTCTGGGATAACAGTATGATTAGGTTTGCCTGGGGCAATCCTAGTTCATGCCTGTTGTTCTGGCGTATTTATTAATAGTTTCCCCGCTAACTCTCAGAGGTGTCCATGTATGGATGGTAAATTATGTGGCACCCTACACATAGCCCTATAGTCACTTGTATTGTTTGTTCAGTGATCAGAGGAGTAGCCTTTCAAGGAAACCATGGAGACATAAGAACCACAACTCTTACATGGGAGCACACTGCAGAGGGTGTTCTGTGTGGCAATGACCTGAGCCCAGGTAGTACAGAATCTGAGAATATGGATTCTTCTCCATCTCTCAGATTCTCCTCCACTTCAGCAGCACTATACTTGATTCCTATGATTTGATAAGCGATGACGAACGTGGAGAACATGTGATAATGTACCCATGTAGCAACGAATATGAAAAATAATTGCTTAAAAAGCTCTGTTCAATTGCATTTCATTTCAATATCCAAGAAGAAAGGCAATGACAACAAAATTTCCATCTCTTAAACAGAGTGTTCATATGTAAGTAATTCACAGATGGCAGAGCCCCAAGTGGGTTATATTCAATCATTCCCAAGGAATGAAACTTACTTACAACCCACAGCAAAAGAAGCTGGAAGGATGAATATTTGACACATTTGATTATATTGAAATATTGCCTTTAAAACCACAGTTGATGATTGTTATTTTTAGTTGTACTTCATTAGG